TTTAAGTTGTCCTGTATTGGGCCTTTGTTAATGGGCCTAATCCTGTTTAATGTTTTAAGTTGTCTGGGTGTCCCATCACTAATCAGGGGCATTCTAGTAACTTCCTGTATCATTGTACTACACCATAATATAAATAATAGTACTGTCGACTGAGTAGAGAGTTCGACATTCCTGCATCTCTTCTTCTTCTTCTTTCCTTTTCTGCTACTTCGGCTACAGTAATTTAGCTTTCACAATAGATGATAAAATGAGGGAAAGTAGACTAAGACGGTCTATTCACATATAGAGAAGACCATCTACAGCACCAAATGGAAGAAGTGACTTGTTACAAGTTGAAGGGTATAGAATAGCTAGAGGAGACCAAAAAACATGGGCTGAAGGAGTGGGAACTGGAGAATTATTTGAGTACCAAAAAAACATGCATATGGTATTGAACAGGATTCCTATAGCTGACCCCTTATAGTTGGGATAAGGCTTTGATGATGATATGACACTGAAACAGAGTAGAATGGCAGAACAATTGGAGAAGGCTTAGTTAAAGTTAGTTTTCTTTGTGATAATTTATCCCCCTCACCTCATGGAAGGTATGATAGAAAAACGTCTAAGCTTTCATGCATTCCAGAACCAATATGGTGTTTTGGGCCCTGTCCTGCCATTTTACTTATTAAAAGTTGTTTATTTGCAATGATCAAATTACTCAAGTGCTCACTTGGCTTGTTCGGGATCTTCCCAACTCTATGGAGGAAGATTCTTCAACAATGATATATTTGTAATGTGCTTTACATTTTAGTACAAAATATTTGTTTTTCCGATTTCTAGCACAAGTCCCATTTTGCTTAAAATATACAGAAAACAAAAGTAGTTTCTGAAATATCTTAAATTCCTGAGAAAAGCATTCTGCTCCTATGCTATAGAAATGTAATGGAAGAATTAGAGACAGATAGTAGTGTGGACTTCCCTTAGGAGTTGCAGAGTTATATATTAGATAGTCTATCTTTTGGTATGATGCATTGTTGGGTGAGGAATTTGTGGCTGTGATTGTTTTAAGGAGATGTTTCCCAAACATCTGTCTTTATTGGCCTATGTTTCTTAGTTTTCTGAAGATTAGAAAGTAGGGTTATGAATTTTTTCGAAGATTGCTTCTTGGGGTGGTAATTCCAGTAGTTGGGTGGTAGGTATATATAATTGACCTAGGGTATTTGGGGCCTCTTTTAGTATGAGTTTGTAGGTGTTTTCTTTTGGTTGCTCGGGCTGTAAAGCCTGTATACTGCTTGTATACTTTTTTCTTATTTTTTTGAGAAAAAGGCAATGTATTATATAAAGCTGAGAAAAATAATGTACAAATCCCTCTTCAGTAAGATACTGCACAGGGGCCACACATCCCAAAAAAGTATGCTAATTACATCACAAGCCTAGATACAAAAAGATTGCTATAATTAAAAGAAAAAGTGTAAGGTGTATCCTTTAACTTCTTATGAACAGATGCCTATGAATAGATTTTACCCCATAAACTTTTCAATACTGTATCTTCTGTACTGTATTTGTCTTCAAAAAGCCTCCTGTTTCTCTCTGACCACATAACCCAAATTTTGCTACTGATATCACTCTCCAGAGTATTTTTCCCTTTTTAGACAGGCTCTCAACTGCCAGCACCATAATACCTCCTTCTGATCCCTAGGGAAGCAGAATTCACCATAAAACAAACCCACTGCTTGCTGATCAAAAAAAAAAAAAGACCAATGCTTCTTTCCAGAGCCTCCTTGAAAATTGCAATGAATAAATAAATGTTCTGCTTCTTCTAAGGCTTCTCCACACATCACACACCTGCTTTGCTCCACCACCATTTCTCTTCTTCCAAGCCTGTAGCCGTTAAGCACTTTCCAGGAGTGGCTGTCCAAAACACAAAAAAAAAAAAGGAGAGCTACTGTTTTCCAAACTCTATCCTCCAAGAAACTCTCCAAATCCTCATAAATCAACCTTCTATAGAAAGATTTAAGCAAGTTTATTAAACAAGTTTATCAATCATGATTGAATCTTTGATCAACTTATCAACAAATTCATAGGAGCTACACTCATGTGCAATCAACCCTTAGCACAAAAGTTGCAACAAAATGCAACATCATGCAGTGGCTTCTAAAAATGGCCAATGAATCAGAAAGAGGATTTTGACAGAAATATTTCATAGAGGTTCTTTATGCAGCAAAACCTTAAACACCCAAAATTTTCTAGAACTCTACAACCTATATACTTTTCCCCTTGATTGATAAATTTGTCATTAAAATATACACTAGGAACTGGTTTAGCTACTTTTTCCAGAGAAAAAGGCCAGAAGGTTGACACTAAGGGCACGTTTGATAACTCTTTTTAGAGGTCTGAAGTCTGAAATTCTTGCTTTTCAAATGCCAGACTCGTTTGGTGTTGCATCTGAAAACCGACCTGAAATCTGTTTTCAGATTGAAATTTTAAGTTCACAGCCTGGCACTTAACGTGCTCAGATGCGTTTCAGAGCCAACACAAAGTCGAAAATGCCCTACTAAAAATTGCAAAATGGCACGAATTACCCCTGTTTAACCCCAAACCTAAAAAACCTAATTCATTTGTATTTTCTCTCTTGAACGAACGAGAAGGAAGATCGCCGCCTGCATCTGATTTCTCTCTAGGTTTCTCTCTCGAACAAACCTGCACGTCTTAAGATTGCTCCAGTTTTCATGGCCGCAAACCTTTGCGTTGAACAAACTGCATCTGAAATTGCTTCTTGCTGTATTCTTAAACTTTTAGGGGTAGCACTGCACGACCTACGGAGACGACCTGTGAAGCGGTTTGGATGCAGCGGAGGAAAGGGGAAACGAACACTGTGAATAGGGAAATCAAGCTTGTCACGGAGCTTCCTCCCAGTGCAGAAGGCTTGAACTTTGTCGGCTTCCGTGAGCGATGAGTCCAGGGGCACACCGCTGTGGTGACCCACAAGGGCTTCGCGTTGTTAATCTGGTCACCATGCCGCATCATGATCACCGTCCCAGGGGCGCACCGTCGAAACCACTGATGGGCATGGTCTATGCTTTCTGATGATTGATGCATCTAAGATGTGAAACGTTTCAGGCGAGGGCGAGATGACGAGTTAGGGAACGATATAATTTTCTGAATAAATTATATTTAAAGTAGCTCTGCTTCCATTCCATTTGATCACAACTTCACAACCTTCGTGTTGCCCAATTTCCAAACAAAAAATTTTCATAATCCAAAACAGAGGATGAGTTCGACAAGCAGAGCTTGGACCGTAGCTGCGAGCATTGGAGCAGTTGAGGTTTTGAAGGATCAAGGTTTTTGTAGATGGAACTATGCTCTTAGATGTCTGCATCACCACACCAAGAACAATATGGGATCCTTCTCTCAGGCCAAGAAGATCTCTTCTTCAATGGCCCCGGTGAGTAAGAAGTTGATGATAGATCAGCAGAAGATGAAGCATTCTGAAGAATCCCTTAGAAAAGTTATGTATTTGAGTTGTTGGGGTCCCAATTGAACTCACGGTTCTGTACATATTTCTCTGTAAACTAAACTAAACTCTAATGGAGAATACATGTGTTACAATTTCCTTCATTTCTTATCGTTAAGTTTTATCTTACATCTTCTTCCTCCCACCTTCCATTCACTTTTTAAGACATGGTTCCCCATTTGTGACCAGAATTTAAGTTTTTTCTGAATAAGTTATATTTTGAATTAAATAATTATTTTAATCAATTATTTGAATTGAATAAATTATTTTTTATTTTTTAATCAATATTATTTTGAATTGAATAAATTATTTTTAGTTTTTATGAGTTTTTTGTATTAATTATAAATTATTTTATTTTTATTATTGTTGATTAATTTAATATTTTTTATTAGATATTAGTTACATATTTAGTATTTAATTATTTGTTTTTATTATTATTTATTAATTAATTACTGATTTTATTAATTATTTTCATCTTGATTTGGTTTTAATTATTTTAATATTATGTATTAGTTATTAATTGTTAATTATTAATGATTGACATTATTAATTATTAATTAGTAATTATTAGTGTTCTTTATTTTAATATTTTCATTAGTTGTTAATTATTTTGTTTAATTTTAATTTTTTAATTATTAATTTCATTAATTTTTTACAAATTATTTTTATCCTTATTTGTGTTAATTATTTCAATTTTTTATTAGTTAGTAATTATTTTTATTAATTTTTGTTTGTTTTTTATTAAGTATTAATAATTTTTCTTAAATATTAGTTATTTTTAGTAATCATTAATTATTAGTTATTAATTTTATTAATTATTGAATTTTTATTTATTATTCATTATTAAATATAATTTTTAATTTGATAAATTATTTTATATGAAATAGTACAAATTGAGCTCAAAATTACCAAATAGTCTATTCTAGGGGTAAAATAGTAAAATCAGGAAATTTCAGATGTTAAAGGTTTGGTCCAACACAGAGTATTCAGAGCCTCTAAAAAATAGAAAAGCAAATATGACTCTTTTCAGATTTCAGACACTTTTAATATCTTTTCAACTTTTCAGACTTCAGATTTCAGATTTACCAAACGCCACCTAAGAAGCCGGTAAAAATAAAAGCAAAGCACTTGGCACAATGAAGGTTACCTTTAATTGGTGATAGGTCTCAGAGCCCATTTGCATTGCCTCCTCAAATGTGTTTGCCCCAACAGGAAGGATCATAATTTCCTGATATCAATTTGGTTGTCAATTATATTTTATATTAAATGTCATATATTAGATTAAATCTCAAAAACCTTAAATCTGGTCTCAAAAAAAGTCTAAAGCAGTGCAATGTTCACGCAACAATTTGCCTTTAATTCCAATAATCTAGCATTGTTTGGCACATGTCACCATTAGATAATCATATTACACAAACCATCAATGTTTGATCTCAAATTGCAAATGTCATTTTTACAAATTTAAGATATCATCTCTCTGTGAACAAACTTTGAGGAATAACTTACCATCAGCAATGCTGGCCAGCTATCTAGAAAGCCATTTTCAACATAGAAGGTTAAGAGCCTAAAAGAAATCTAATTTGAGTAATATCATTAAAAAATGTAAGTCTCCATGTCCCTGCATTTGAAGGTCCCCTCTATCAAAAGAAAAAGTAAATGACATGCAACAGCAATCCTAAGACCAAACAAAAGAGTAGAGAGTTTAGATTTATTTTATACATGGATAGCTCTTCTCACTTGCTTAAGCAGATCTGCTTATGCATATAGATGTATATGCTTCTCATGCTTTTTTTTTCTCACTAACCATGTATAACTCTTTGTATCTCTCAGGGTATGCCCCCTTTAGTAATACAGTATCATAATTAATGCACTTACTATTTATAAAAAGAAATAAAAAGCAAATATATAAGAATTGACATTCATGATATGGGATAATTCACAAAGCTTGTTTGAAATGGTAATATATTAATTCTAGGCCAAATTTCACCAACCATATAGATTTGTAACCTGGATTTATATAGGGCATACTTGAACGGCAAGATTATTCCCAGCATGTGCTCCACCACTTATAACAGTGAAGGAAGGAACAGGAAGAACCGTGCTAGTTTTACCAGAAAGCTCAGCAATATGTTTGTAAAGCGGAACCTGCATTGCAAATTCAAGTACTAAAATAAGATTCAACAAAACCACCCACCATAAGAAGAACGACAAAAAATAAATGCAACCCAACTAAAATAAGAGAGAAACTATGCCTCCTTTTCAGCAGCACCAGCTTTGCAAGCAGCAATTGAAACAGCTAATATGGCATTTGCTCCAAGTTCAACCTGAAATATACAAAACAGGCGTCAGAGGCCAAAGAAGGAATTCATGTAAAATACGAGTAGGTTTCAGAGTTCAATGCTTAGATACCTATTACTGATTTTGAATTAGGTCTCCAATCAGTTAATTGGAGAACCTGAGAAATATAGTTAACACTTTGATGGTCCCGAGTAGGGTGTACACGAACTGTGCTTTTCACGAGCTATTTGAGCTCAACTTGTGGAAAGCTCAATTCGGCTTGGTCTAGACCGAGCTTTGGGCTGAGCTTGAGCCGAATGAAACTAATCAAGCTTATATTATATATGATGTTTTTAATTTTTTTATTTTTTATAGTATAATAAGAAATAATTATTTGTGTAATTTTATATGTATATACTCATTGTCGAGCTTGAACATATGAGCTTTTGAGTCAAGCCAAATTCGAGCTCATCTTTCCAGCTCAAATTGAGCTAGAACTCAAACTCAAGCCTCATTTTTCTGCCGAGCTGAGCTTGAATAGTTAGATGTTCGACTTGGCTTGGCTTGAATCTATCCCTAGTCCTAAGGCTCCCAAAATCTATAATCGTATGACATAAACATCTTGAAGATCTCAAGAGAATACAATTACCATGTGATACACAAGGTATCACAACTATCCAGCTTCCACAAACAACTACTTTTGATGTTATTACAGATCAAGAAAACAGAAAAACCAGAGAAGGATATCCAAGATCCTTTAATTTAGAGAAAGATTTATACTCTTTAAAAATGCAAAGAAATTAATGGAAATGAAAGCACCATATAAGTTTTCAAAGTTACCATTCCCTTCCAGACAATTATTTTTTACAAAGGCAATCAGAAATTCAGAATCATATAAACCTTAATGAGGAGGCTTATAAGTTGCTCCACCAGCTTTTCCAGGACCAAATTGGGATATAACAAAGATCAAGAATCCTCTTCATTAAGAAAAAGTTCAGAAATTTAGTTCAACCTTCACAACTTCTAATACATTTCTCCAGAAACTAAAACAACTTTTATCATAGAACCCAATGTTTAAAATATTGACATGCACGATACAAAAAAAAATGTATTGTGTGTTTCCATCAGTCAATACTCCTTTTTAATATTTATGGATGGGTTGGTAGGATGGATGTTAACAGTAGAAACTGTTAATATCCCCTAGCTCTTGGTATTTTGAGTTTCGGTGACTTTCGATACCAATATGATACACACAATACAATTCGACATGAATAGATACTTTAAAACTTGATAGAACCTGCATAAATCATCAATCATATATCGTATTTTCTATTCATTTATCAAAATATACATAATTATGTCTACTTTAAATTGGAGAATACAGTGCAAAAGCTGTTTACATTTGCAAAACATTAATGGCACAAGAACAAGTATACTCAATTTTCACCACTAGTGACTGCAATACTGACCACAAAAGAAAACCAAATTGAAAATAATACTAACATTCTAAAAGTAAACTTAGACATGTAAAAAAAAACTCCTTCCACTTATAGATTAATCTTCTTCATATTTACTATGATGTAGCTGCTATATCTTATATGTTAAAGCTTGAGGATATACAGGATCTGTTGCACTTTTTTCCTGCAATTATTGGACTAAGAAATCAATTTGTAATAGATGTTTCAAACATGTATAAAGAATGTACATGTGAGGGTAAGGACACCTGTCACATACTGATTGCTTACTACAGGAAATGTGGTAAAAAAAGTGCAGCAGATCCTGACTCAATTTTTAAATACATCCACCTAATTTGTGAATGGAACCCTTACCTTATTTTCAGTTTTATCCAAGTCTAACATGACCTGATCAATTTGGGACTGCAGTGTTGGATCCATACCAATCAAGGCTTCAGATATTCTCTCATTGACATTCTTAACAGCTCTAGAAACACCTTTCCCAAGATATCTTCCCTTATCTCCATCACGTAATTCAACAGCTTCATAGCTGCAATTAATGCATGAAACATGAGAGCCAATGTCTTTTGGTTGAACGTTGTGACTTAGATCTGATAGACTTAAAAAGATTAAAGTTGCAGTAATAGCAGTAGCAGCAGAAGCAGAAAATGAAGAATCTCTTTATCCTTTCAATTTTAAGAGCAAAACCATTAAGGACTTTGAGTTATTCTATGGATTTTTGGAGTTACGAACCCTTTGGATGCAAAAATGAACTTAGTTATGGCATTTCTAAATTGTAAGACATTTGGATACCCAAGTTTGTCATGCAAAATAGTCATTTCAAGCAATAACAGGGACAATAAATTACTGTGTTTCATAAAAGTTATAAGACGCTCTTATAATGTCAAAATAAAATCACATGCGTGCATCCTATTCTATATGTGCACTTTACATAATTCATCAGAAACTCCTTCCGAACTATAGAAAAAGCAAAATTGGATGATTTCCGGTACCAGAAACACTACAAATTAACAAGCACAAGCCGAGTATAATGTACATAATTGTTAAAAATATAAGCAAGGGCAGTGCAACACATTGCGCTGAAATTCTGATCCACTCTTGTTTAAAGATTACTAAAAAAAATCATGTCATCTGAAATTCTGAATTGTTTGGGGAAAATAGAATGCATAAATTTTCACATGCTTAACAACAATATTTTCCAGAAGCTCTTGAGTTCTGAAGAAATAAATATTAATGAAACAAATTGCGCAAGGAACAAAAGTGAACGCACATTCCAGTACAATTCCCGCTAGGAGATGAAGCTCGAAACATCCCTTTATTTGTGTACAAATCAACTTCAATTGTGGGAATCCCTCTACTATCGAGAACTTGCCTAGCTGTAATCTTCGTTATCACAGAAGAAACGGATTTCTTGATATGATTTGACTGCAATTTTTCAAAATTTACAGAAACAGAGAGAGAGAGAGAGATCACCACACCAGATATGCATAAAGTAAATCCAATTAAAACTACACAAATCGATAAAAAGCTTACGATGAAAAGTACTGGATCGGGAGACTTGGCCCTGACAGCAGCATTGACAGCATCCTCGATTTTCCTAGAAAGCATGTGATTATCCAAGAATTCTTGCACAGACATTGCCACTTCCCGTTCAAAAGGGGTTGTACAGTTCGTATAAGAAGACAAATTAATACCTCCAGAACTATAAAAGTGAACTTAAATCCGGCGAATTCTGCTCTACTACATTCAATGACTAGTCCGAATATGTGCACATAGCTTCTCTGTAAAACGTATGAATTTTGGTTCCCTAGATCTCCCTAGCAAGGAAAACTCGAGCAGATCCCTTTGGAACGACTGTAGTCTCGCGAAGCAGTTGCTTAGGGAGTTGGGGGTGTATTATACGCTATGGAAACCTCTCGTTGCATGGTTTAACATGCGGGAAAACTTGGCACATGCTTCCTTGGAAAAAATAGAACTTACATGTCCTAGATTCATTATACTTCAGTAGTTGTAGGCAGCCAATTGGTTCGACTGGGAAGTTTTAGTAAATTCACTCTCATTATTATTGTTGTCATTGTTTAGAAAAGGATATAACATGTAAGGGGACCGTAGAGGTGTAAATCGGGTTATATCATGACTCATGGCTTGGCATGATGGTTCACGGGTCGGTCGTGTTGGATTTGGGGTTTCAGGTCCGCAGGCCGGGCCAGCATGGTACAGTTGAGCGCATTGTACTGCTCGCGACTCATGTATTGGCACAGTCCATATTTATAATATTAATTTATTAATAAAATAAACAATTATTTTCAATTTTATTGTACTATTTTATTTAATTATTGTATATATAAACAATTGTATACATTAGAATTCATATAAAATAAAAATTTTAAGATTTTTTTCGTTAATTATTTTAAGTAAATAATTTTGACCTGATCCACGGCTCAAACTAACTTAAGACTCGACCCACGGACCAACATGGCATGGGCCCATACAAGCTCGGGCCGTGAACTGTACTATACCAACCCCCAAAATATTCCAAGGGAGAGAGGCACAGCCCGGAAGAGATTGAAACATCCGATGGATATGATCAGATAATAAAAAATTTAAGGGATACTGTTATTTTCCCATATTAATTTCACATTTCTCATGAAAAGAAATTTGTAAAGATGGAGACACCTCAAGATCAACCTTGATGCTTCCATAGGCATTTATGAGATACTTAAATAGGAGCCATGACAATTGATAATTGCCAACAAAAAGATCAATCCCACGGAAGAGAGATCGATATCTTTTTTTTTTAAGCTTCCAATAATTAGTTGGAAAAGGATTATAAGATATTTGTTGAAAAGCAATGACAGCCTTTTGATGGTAGTTTTGCCCGAATTTGTTAATTTTTTGTAGCAAAAAATGTGCAAATGTTCTCACCCTTGGGAGCTGGAACAAGGCTATAGATTAGCTTAGTTGAGTTGAGGGTGCCAGATGGCTCAGCTGAAAAAGCCCGTGGACGGTTCGTCGGTTCCAAGTGATTGGGAATTGGGATCATGGTCTGCTATCACCACCCCCTCCCCCAACTCCTTCACTTTGCCTTGATAAAAGTAATAAATAAACAATACTCAGGTTAATATGGTTGCATGAACCAGGCGTCTTATATAGTTATATCCAGTTCCTTCGCATCAAATCAATAATAAAAACAAATTAACAAGACCTGAAAATATCATCTTTTAACTATTCCACGCTAGCTTCTGTGAAGCAACACCTCCATGTCTTCAGACAAGCTCTCTCGCATCAAATCAATAACAAGGATGAAACAACAAGCCAAAACTCTAATTATACTTGATATAATGATGATGGCATTTGCAGGTACGCACTGCAAATTCACATCTCATGAATCCAATGCACAACAATGCTCACAAAGATCGGCGGAAAGAAAACGAAGAGAATCAAGTTTGCCAGTTCCCAGAAAAGAAAATCAAACAGACATCAAGAGAAATCATACCCTGACGGGTAATGGACTCCATCAAACACGGAAACCGTGTTGGACAAGGACAACATAATCTTCTGTATATAAATTAGGGTATCAGGGTCGAGCATCTGGAACAGAGGCGGCTGGGCGCTTGATGGATGCACACTTGATTAGATGGTTGTAGCTCCCTTTCTCCTTGAAAAGTTGGGAGAAATGGTGCTTACAGTAAAGAATGCCTTCCAGAGCAGCATAGTTTGATGGGGTAATTGGGCAGCCACCATGGGAACACTTGAAGCAGGACTTATGGTAGGCCTGGCTCTCCACTGTTACCTGAAAAAATTTGGTACAACAAACTGAGTTTATATATTTGGTGAGTTGAACTTGTATCATATATCAGTAAAACCATGTATCTGAATGTTTGTGAAAATGAGCTCAGTTTACTGAAAACAGTAAGATGTAATCTAAAAGCAGTAACGCAGCTGTTGAATCGGATTTTTTTAATACAAATAGTTGATGAATCCCAGTTTTACTTGCAACTACACCACTAGCATGAATACCACCCAATCTACAACCTTCACTGACCTACCAATCCAATGCCCCTCTGGTAGGGGTGTCAATTGGACTGGATTTGGTCCAATGCGATCCAGTCCAATGTGAGTCCATTACAAATGGACCAGGTCCAATCCAATCCAATGAATATTTTGGACCATTTTGGACTGGCCCAATTCAATGTCCGGACTGTCTAGTCTGTTCAAATTTGTTTTAATTTAGATTGCTTTCAACCAAACCCGGTCCATTGACACCTATATTCTTATCTTATATCAATGGACCAGATATTGGCTTAATCCAACCAAATCCAATATAAATTTATTAAGGATGAACCAGGTCCAATCCAATCTAATAAATATTTTGGACTGAATTGGTCCAATCCGACCAAATTGATTTTGGACTGGACGGGGTCCAGTCCAAAACCGGTCCATTGACACCCTTACCCTCTGGCAGAAGTTACTCATAAACTAATAAACCCAAAGACTAGCCCACATGATGGGAATTCAAATTTGTAACCCAAGACAGGTGGCATCAATCTATATGCCTAACCTAGTCATTAAAGAAAGATTGCCAAATAAAATGAGACACAAGACAGGGTGCCCTGGAGAGAAAGGAAGATACTAAACAAGGAAGAAGATCGAAGTGCAAGGAGAGAAAACTAGGAAACTTGAAAAGGCAGGAATAGCAAAAGCTTTTTGTGTTGGAAAAGAGTTCAGGTAAAGTTTCACCCAGTTGTATTTTCTTCTTCTAATAAAAAAATTTCGCTTGTTTAAAAGGATGATTATCATATTTGTTTCAAACATACAATGCTAATCAACCCTATGAACTCCCCTGCAACATGGGCATCTATGTGGACGAAAATTTTGATTCCTTTTAGTAATTAGGCTCCTATGGGCTACAAACAAATTTTGATTCAACAAACTCTCTAAATCTGACAAATGAAGAACCAGGGAATTAGAACTTGTCCCAGTCTGTAACATCTGGAGGAAACAGACAGAGGAATGCCTCTTGAAGATCAAAAAACAAAGGGGAAAGGTGCTGAGTCCTTCTGCATCCTACAGATTACAAAAGTATTGAACCTTAACCATTTCAAACAAATTAAGAGAGAGAGAGAATGAATACAAGAAGTATTTCTCAGTTTCAAATTCCTTCAATAACTTCTTGAAAAAACAGGTCTCCTGTAGACCAAGATCAAATGGAGTAAGCCCTGAATTCTTCTCAAGCCTGCTTTAGGCTACAAAGAGTGACCGGTAAATGGTAGCTCAATAAACTTCTCCCTCTTCAGATGTCTCATAAACTATAAGAAAAGATCTTTTCAGTATCTTATAGACTACAACAAAGGGAACAGGCGAACTTTGGGCTCTATAAATAACTTTCATCTTTGGGACTAGTAATAGATTATTTGTAAAATATGGTTTCCTGTAGACTAAACCAAATCACATTCATTTAGAGCAAGAGATTAATGTTTGAGGGCTTTTAACATTCATTCCTTGGTGGCTCGGTGGAAGATAATTGAGGTTAATTATATATACATTTTTTCTGAGCAAATTGAGAGCATAAACCCTCTTAGGTCTAATGTATGTTTGTTAAATGAAGGATAGATTGTTGTAAGACCAAAATCAAGAAAGAAGAAGGACCTGCACTTTATCCCCCTGAACTTCAGCAAAGGAGTCCAGCACTCAGTTCTATTTATCAAGGATTACTAACCAGCAAAAAGTGAGTGACCTATCAAAGAGTTTTCCCACTAAAAAAACATTGCTTAGTATGATCCAAGGTTTTAAATGAAGGAATGGTAAGATCCATCTAATGGACGCCAAAAAGGTTGCGGAATGGATGGCCGGATTTCAAAAAATTTCCTACCTTCCTCCAACTTGGAATCATATTCCCTAAATTTAGAATACCATATTCAAGGATCTTATTTGAACCATAATCGAACCAGATCTGAACCACAAGGTAAAAGGGAGGATTATACCTGATC